TGCTAACAGATAATTTCTATGCAATTATTATGGCATAACCCAATCACATCAAATGCGATCCCCCTACTTTGCAGAAATATATCACATCCGCATAACTTTTGTTCAACAGTACCGTTATCATGGTAACAGCCATCTATCGCATCAATTCTAACCCTCGCGTCCCCTCCTCATAACTTCCTCATAAATATATAGTCTTCTTTAAATTTAAATTAAGTCCAGGGGACTATATCGAAGACGGAAAGAGACAAAGTTGATCAAATTGACAGACTAACACTGCGGATCACAGTAGAAAAAGCCTCAAATTTGCAGGGAAGGGGAGGGAGGGAGGGAGAGAATTCTAATACGGAATGACAGACGCAATACGGAAGCTAATCTTAAAGGGATTCTTTGAAGATGTCATGTGTCGAAAGCAATGATCGCGTTCAGATGATCGCGTGCTACCTGACCATAGGTTTAACATGGATAAAGTGGACAATAAGACGTATGATTTCTCCTATCGGCCGTATAGTTCCATTGTGTTTCCATTAAAAAGATGCATTTTCTTGTGACTCTCACCACTGGTTGCTCGTCGTCTTCAGACTAGAACGAGTTTTCGCATTACGTGCGTGTGTGCCCGCGCGCGTATGGCTATCTTTTGTGTGCGTGCGTGCTCGCGCGCGTGTATAGGTGTCAGTTTGTACGCGTGCGTGCTCACGTGCGTATAGCTATCTGTTTGGGCTCGTGCGTGCTCGTGCGCAAATACCTAGCTGTTTTTTGTGCGTGCGAGCGTGTGTGCATGCGTGCGTGCTCTCGCACGTATAGGTATCTGTTTGTGCGCGTGCGTGTTCACGCGCGTATAGGTATCTTGTTGAGCACATCAATCGCTTTATCAATAACCAGAAGCCAAAAAATCAAACTTATTTTCTCGTCCCGTAGTCTCTCTCTTCTGCATTCCATTTCTCTTTCTCTGTTTTCCGTTAGTGATTTCATCCCTCTGTAGTATTGCTGGAAGATACAACAGGGAGAGTAAAAATATCTCCAGTAAACACATAAACGCTTTTCATATTGTCAGCAACCAATCACTTATTTCATTAGTTTACAATGCTTCTACTGTCCAGTAAGACATGTATTAGCCTGCGAACTTGTGCGTACGCGCTTTGCTTACATGCATGTCCATACTACGTGTATAAGGCATTGAGCCTCTCAATTCCCTGGCGAGTCGGATGTGGAGGATTGGAGCAGTTGTCTCTAGAGATGAAACGATGCACTACGGGCATGATACGATACATATCTCAATACGTAGGTCATGAAACAATACATATCTCAATACGTAGGTCATGAAACGTTACATATCGCGTAACGTAAACGTAAACGAAAGCGAAAACGAAACGAAAACGAAACGAAACGAAAACGAAACGAAACGAAAACGAAACGAAACAAAAACGAAAAACGAATTATGAGTATGTCAAAGCCATAGAAATATATAGTAAACAATCAGTTACTATATATATATTTCTGTGGCTGAAACAGAAGCAAGACGTTCTGAGTGTGCTCTAGACTAAACTGTAATCAAGAGCTCCACTCACATGCACGCCATACACAGTGCTACAGTACGTGCTCAGTAACGACTCACCAGTCAATCAGCACTGCTTTGCAATAACAATTTTGGCGGCTATACAATACATATATATATATACTAGCTGCTGGTACCCGCTGCGCTGGGTAAAATCGTGCTACTAATTCATACTACTAATAATGGGACACAATAGGAACATTGGGTAAAAATCGACAATAACATTGCACACAATATGAATATTTAGAAATCATTCTAATAAGATAATAATTAAGCATGGGGAAAACTGTTACCGTATGACATCTTATACTGACAGCACACCCAAACTTAGAACCTGCCTGGAACATTAATAGTAATATGGTGTAAATGACAAAAAGTTATTATAACAGCATGTAACGAATGGGTTGGACTTTTCATTTCGAAAACCCCTCTTGATAAAACAATGTTTTGCGTGTATCTCCTGGTGGAAAATATGTAAAGATTCCTGGCGTCTGCGACTGTTTGAGCTCCCATCACGTACGGCATGCACGTATGGCACGTACGGCACGTAACACGCATAATACGAAATGGGTTGCGCTTCTCAATTTCAAAGCCCTGTTGATAAACAGCAACAGACGAATAACCTCTGAACCTGGCTGTGCTCTGTTTTAGCACGTGCTCGGTTTCGGTTTCATCCATACAGCAGCTGCTTGGAACATGAGTGCATCGATTTTTCTCTGTGTGCAGCACTGTCAGTCAGTGCTGGACATTGTGTGGAAGGATTTCACGAACATTGAGGGTTTTTCAACGGCATTTTTCGCGGTGAGTTTGAACGGTTTGGCAGGTTTTTTCAGCCGTAGGAACATCCTCCGGGTATAAGAGATGGCCCTGTGAAAATTGCATTGCCAGATCGGCTTGGGCGGATTTGGCCGGCGAATGCTACATAATGAGTACGATACAGATTGACATACATAACATACGATCAAGCATACATACATACATACATACATAATACATACATACATAATACATACATAACATTTACAACTGCATAAATACATACATACATACATACTATCATACATACATACATACATACATACATACGAACTCAAATATATATTAGATATATATTGACTCAGATTTCTATGACAGCCGAGAATATTTACGTGATACTGAGAGAGTGTTCATGAATAAAAGAATTAATTCAATTTAAAAAGAATCACACGTGCTTTATTAAATAGTTTAGCTTGCCTCATTCACTGTTTAACATCCGTATCGTTTGTATAGCGATACGGACGCTGCGTATCAATTATCGTATTGTGGACCGCTGTATCGAGATTCACCGATGCATCGGTGAATCGTTACAGCCCAGTGATCTCTATATACTAACTTAGTTAGAAATAATATAAGAAATAATAAAATAATAAAAAAATTAAAAATAAAATTAAAAAATAAAATAATATAGAGATCAGTGTTACACCCCTAGTATCGCTCAACAAAATACTCCTACATAGATGTGACAACATCCCAAAAAGTTTCCCATCTCAGTTTACAGCACGAAAATAAATAGCAATTCGCAAGAACAGCTAGAATCACTGACATGTTACACATTAGAAATAACTATGTCAGAGTCTCGTGAGAACCACATGATTATCACTTAATGACATGCAAATACCTCCATCTGCATTCCCATTCTATCTACCCTCCAAAATCGTTATCCTCTGACAACATATACATGTATTTGCTTTTACTAAGCTATCGATTACATGATTAAATTATGAAATATACTACAAAAAGCGAGTATAATTTTATAGTCATCTGGAGGAAGTATTTTATAGTCATTATTGAAGAGATGGCTTTTAATTTTCTACAATTCACGCTTTTACACAATACTCTTTTATACAAATCACATGCACCATTTATAAAGTGCACATTGTACAGTACCAAACCTAAACTTGTATGCAAATGCATACAAATAACAGAACATGCTACAATATAAATCATTATTTATAGCACAATTCATAATATACACTGCCACAAAATTGAAGTATTGGCGTATATAAATGGCGCGTGCGGTAATGGGCACGACCTGTTTGAGCACACTGGTGTAGAAATTTGTACTGTGTTTTCTTATGTTGAGTTCGTGCGGTAATGAGCACGGTCTTCGAACTTGTTGAAGCGTACACGTGTTGTAAGCTGGCTTGTAAGGTGAATTGCTCCCTCCACATCTCCCTCCACTGTAAGTGAAGAGGGCACTTGTTGACTCCGTTTGGTGACTTTTTGCCCGGCGTGACTGAGTGTGATTGGGTGAGTGATCGCCACCCCCTCCAGCCGGCTAATAAGGAAGTTAGCCTGCTGGGACTCGGGCACATTCCACCCCTCCAGCACCGCCTGGGCATCCGCGATCTAAGCAGAGAGCCCCGCAGCGCCTGAGATGGTCCCCAGGCGTTGGTCTCGCTGCTCGACGACCACAGACGTCTTCAGGTTACGTACCGCCTCAAAGCGGGTCTGCGCCTCTTCCAGGTCCTGTTGCAGTTTTTCAGCCTCACTGCGCTGCCGCTCCACCTCCTCATCCCGGCGCTCCAGCTGCTGCTGCAAGGCCGCAAGCTCGGCTCGGTCTTTCTCCTGCACATCTTCCACTGGCATAGCGTGGGCCACAACCCGGATCACACAAAAGGAGGAAGTCAAGCTCACCCTGGACCCTTCCAAGCGCACGCCAGCCAGCATTTACGCAGTACTACAGAGGACTTTTGGGAGGTCTATCTCTGTCAGGAAGGTCCTGGGAGAATTTTACGGGAGGACCCAAAGGAATGGGGAGTCACTGCTCGAGTTCTCCCTAGCGCTGCGCAGCCTCCAGCACAAGTCGGAGGGCAAGGTCGAGAACGTGCGCCTCCTTGAACAGTTTGCGGAGTGAGTCTTCGAACAGGGTTTGCAACAAGAGCTGCGGAGAGTGCGCGCATAGCAAAGCATCGTGGATCTTACCGAGCTCCGGGAGTGGGCGGTAGGATGGCTGGGGGGGAGGCGACGATGCCAGGCCGAGAGGTGCCGGAGTTAAGGCGGTATCCGCCACGGTTGACTCACCCGAGGCATCGAGCCCGGCAGTACCAGAATGGAGGCGTGAGCTAGATGAGCTCAAGCAGATGGTACGGGAGATGGCTGTCACCCGTGGCCAAGACAGAGATCGGGGAGTGGAAGCTCGGGCTGGGCCCACCGGCACGAGGAAGTGCTACCAGTGCCAGGGCACTAGTCACTTCATGGCAGAGTGCCCTGAGAGGCGTCCCCGACGCAAAGGGAGGTGTTACGAGTGTGGTTCACCCGCCCACTACCGAAACGCCTGCCCTAAGCTGAAAGACCACTCCAGGAAGAAACCGGGAAACGACGACCTCCTACAGTGCTGAGCCGTGCGGTAGGAGGGGCCACTAATGGCTCGGGAATCACTAAACAAACCAGTTTTGAGGAGCGGGGCATGGCACCCTGCCCGGAGGCTGAGGTGAAGATCGGCGGTGTGGGAGTGAGGTGTTTGCTGGACAGCGGGTCGCAGGTGTCACTCATTACCGAGAGCTTCTTCAGGAGGCGGTTTGGCCTGGCGGGAGAGCTAGTTGATCTGCCGTGGCTTAGGGTGATGGCGGCCAATGGCCTGGAAGTTCCCTACTTGGGATACATCGAGCTGGATGTCGAGGCCTGTGGGCAGGTGTTTCCGCAGATGAGGTTTTTGGTGTCTCGCGACCCTACCTCACCTGAGGAACGGAAGCGACTGGAGAGGTTGCCGGGGATCATTGGTTGCAATATCCTGCAACGTATGCCCTGTGAAATTGATAGTGCAGGGAAGTGGCGGAGTGGTACGGGGTCTGTCTCGGAGAGGCGGAGTTGGATGCAGGCACTGAGCAGCTATGAGCAGACTGCGGTCAACAGTGCGCGTGCTGAGAGGAACCCGCCAGCTGCTTTTGTTCGGGTACCCAGAGCTAGTGTGGTACGCCTTGCAGCTAGGAGCATCAGGGTGGTATCTTTGATCACCCGGGGGGTGTAGCCAGCTATGAGGGCTTGGTGGAGATCGTTGGGTGTAGATAGCGGCGGCTTGCCCAGGAATGTGATGCTGTTGCCCACCCTGTGTCATGTCAGGGCGGGGCACGTGGAAGCGGCAATCGCTAATTTGAGTGAAGAGGAGGCTGTGTTGAACCCTAAATCAAGGGTAGGTCAAGTCCGTGAAGCATCTGCGGTGAATAAAGATGTAACGGCGAGGACTACGTCATCAGATATAGTCCTGGGTGGCAAGGACGAGAACCGTGATGACGTCACAGAGTTGATGAGTCAGCTCGACTGTGGTACTACGCGAAAACTACTAGTTAGATGCGGTACAACGCGAAAAGTTAGAAGAGTTGCTTCGGAGGTACCGGTTGGTGTTTCTGATGGGAGATGAGAATCTGGGATACTGCGATTGGATAAAGCACACCATCAAGACAGAGGATGACGTCTCCATACGTCTCCCCCATCGGAGGATATCCCCAAATCTTCAGCCTGAGGTGAAGCGTCACCTGGAGGGTTGGGTGGAAAAGGGGATCATTCGCCCAAGTTCCAGCCCGTACGCCTTCCAGCTGGTGATGGCAAGGAAGAAGGACCAGAGCCTGAGGCTGTGTGTGGACTTCAAACTCTTGAACAAGAAGATGCTGAGGGATGCGTACCCCCTACCCAGAGTGGAAGAGGCGCTTGAGGCACTGAAGGGGGCGAGGTACTTCAGTTCGATGGATTTAGTATCTGGATACCTACAGTATGCTATGGACGAAAAGGACATCCCGAAGACAGCATTCATGGCAGGAACTGGGGACCTGTGGAAATATTACAAGGATGCCCTTTGGCCTGGTGAATGCGGCGTCCACATTTCAGTGACTGATGGAGCTGTGCCTGGGCGACAAGGCATATGAGATACTGCTCCTGTACCAAGACGACATCATGGTTTATGCGGCCTCAGTTGATGACATGATTGAGTGGGTTGGCCTGGTGCTGCAGCGGTTGGAGTCCTTTGGCTTAAAGGTTAAGCCCAGTAAGTGCCACCTGTTCCGTCGTGAGGTTGCATTCTTGGGTCACGTGGTGTCGGAGGAAGGTGTAGCTACGGATTCGGAGAAGATAAAGGCAGTCGCCAAGTGGGCAGTACCAACTAACGAGAGTGAACTAAGATCGTTCATGGGCCTGGCCTTTTCAGGTATCGCCTCTCCCCTTCATGCCCTTATGGGGAAGCCGACGACGTCCAAGAAAAAGAAGAAGAAGAGAGTACCAGTGCCGGTAAAAGATGGGCGAAGCTTCTCAGAGTGTTGGGATGAGAATTGTCAGATGGGGTTCGACAAGATCAAGGAGTTGCTAACTACTGCGCCAATCTTGGGTTATCCGGACTTCAGTCTGCCCTTTAGGGTAGAGACCGATGCTAGCTTTAGAGGGCTCGGGGCTGTGTTGTCCCAGGAGGAGCAGGGAAAGCAGAGGGTGATCTGCTATGCAAGCAGGTGAAGCCTGGAGGCAAGCAAGGCAAGCAGGCAAGCAGGCAAGCACTTGAAGTAGGCGGTGACCGACAAGTTCCGAGAGTATCTGTTGGGGTCGAAGTTTGTCGTCTATACCGATAACAACCCGCTGGCCTATCTCCAGACCAGCATGAAGTTAGGAGCTACGTGGGCAGCCCAGCTGGCCCAATTCAATTTCGAAGTGAAATACTGTTCGGGGCGATCCAACGCCAACGCAGATGCTCTCAGCAGGAAGACCGTCCACAGCGAGGAGGTGTTTGCGGCATTAGAACAGGGCATCATCCCTCCCGGTGGCACTGAAGAGCACTGCCTGTGACTACCAGCATGTGGTGATAGACTCAGAGGTAGGCATAGGACCACGAGGTCCAGCGGTAACCATGCTACCTTCGCTGGCGCCCGAGAGTTACGAAATCTCCAGAGGAAAGACCCGTCACTGGGGAGACTCAGGGCACTGTGGGACCAGGAACAGAGACCATCCAGGAGGCAGGTTTGGAGGAAACCCAAGTATGTGCGCAAGATGTTGGGGCAGTGGAGACGCCTAGAAGAGACAGGTGGAGTGCTGTACCGTTGTGTCAAGGGGGACGGGCAGCCACTGGAGCAGCTCCTTCTGCCTGAATGCTTGAAGAAGCAAGTTTTGGAACAACTTCATAATGCAAACCAGGCAATCATAACCAAGGTGTCGAGCGCATGCTTGCGCTGGTGCGGAAACGGTGCTGCTGACCAGGCATGGCAGTCCAGACGCACTACTGGTGTCGAGACTGTGAACGGTGCCAGATGGCTAAGGCACCAGCACAGAAGGTGCGACCCATCATGGGAAGCTTGTTGGCGAAGAGGCCAATGGAAGTGTTGTCGGTCGACTTTATGATCCTAGACAAAGCCAGCGATGGACGAGAAAATGTGCTGGTGATGACGGACGTCTTCACCAAGTTCGTCCAGGCGGTCCCCACCAGGGACCAGAAGGCAAGGACTGTGGCCAAGGTCTTGGTGAAGGACTGGTTTGTGCGATACGGGGTGCCAACGAGGATCCACAGTGATCAGGCGTGCAACTTTGAGAGTGCCTTGATCCGGGAGTTATGTGCCGTCTACGGTGTCGAAAAGTCCCGCACTACGCCATACCACCCTCAAGGGAATGGCCAGTGCGAGCGCTTCAACAGGACGATGCACGACCGGCTGAGGACGCTGATGCCGGAAAAGAAGAAGAGATGGCCCGAGCATCTGCCGGAGTTGGTGTATTCGTACAACGCGACGATACACTCCTCAACGGGTTATTCCCCGTACTTTCTCATGTTTGGGCAGGATCCACGGTTGCCCATTGATTCCCTCCTGTGAGTCAATCAGGGTGACAACTGTGATGACACGGACGGTGTTGACGACTAGGTGGCTGGACACAGGCAGAGGCTTGATGAAGCTCTGGAGGCCACGGAACAGCGGTTGGGGCATGAAGCTCTGCAGCGTCAACACCAAATAAACAAGAAGTCGCGAGACACTGACCTGCCAGTAGGGAGGAGTCTTCCTGAGAAGCCGGGGTCAGGGGCGGAACAAGATCCAGGATATGTAGAATTCAACGCCCTATGTCGTCGTGGCGAGGCCAAACCCATGGCAGAATGTGTACGTTGTGCAGGCTGCTGACCGGGTGGGGTCAACCAAGACGGTAAATTGTGTTAACCTGTTGGATGGTAAGAGCACGGTCGAGGTCCCCGGTGCTGTGGCAGTGGCGCCTGACAAAGACGCATGGCCGGATGAGGAACAGGTCAATTCACCGGATGAAGAGGCACGCCCACGGTTTAGGTGGGTCCGGGTGGATATACCGGTGGCAGAAGCAGAGCACCCACAGGAGGAGGGAGACCTTGCTCTTGAAGGTGTAGAAACGAGACCGGAGGGTGACGGAGCTCTTGGGGAAGATAGGGGTGTCGGGGGCACTTACGAGTCTGAGTCAGGCACTGGCTCGGAGAACGCTAGTGCCACGGGGGACACCACCAGTGGGGATGGCCAAGGGACGGAAGGGTAACAGGAGGCTGATGAAGCTCCTGAGGAACATGGGGGTGTAGGGGGCACTGACGAGTCTAAGTCAGGCAGTGACTCAGATGATACTTGTGCCACAGAGGACACCGCCGGAGATGTTGGTCAGGGGTGGAAGACCCTGAGGAGAGGCCTGGAGGAGACGAACTTCACGATTGTGACGTCAATGACGGGGGAGAGGCGGGCTCGCATGACAGCGAGGACTCGACGCCGGTCAGGCGTACCTCTCGCCAAAACGCTAGCACTCATGGGAATCCCCATCACCTCCCAAAGTCGGTGGTGCGGACCCAAAGGGCTGCCGTGGTTGAATCGGCTGTGGTGCCGATGCAGTTTGGCGACCTGGCGCAAGCAGTCGCTAGTCTGGGTCAGGTGCTCCAGAACTCGTGGATGGCTGGTGTGAGTGGTCAGTCGACGAGGATGTCGACGATTTAAACTGGGGGGTGTGTGAGCGAGTGTTTTGGTACGCCCACTTATTCAAAATCTGTAGTGTTGTTCTATACATGACTTACTCCGTATAGTGCTGCCGCCTGGTGTTAGGGTCGGAAAGCTATGGGGGGATTGAGGGTAAACCCTTTGTTTGGATTTGAGTGGGAAAGAAAGGGTGCCATCTTTGTCGCAGGTGGAATCTGGACAAGCGAGCTACTATCCTTCGACTACCTGTGAAAGGAGGTGGGTGCACTGCTGGGCTCTCTAAATTCTGGGAGTTCTGGTATGAGAGTTATGTGGATGTGTTCTTGGTGTCTACAGGATCTTATAGCCAGGCTTTATTACATTTGAGGCCAGTGTAAGTGGAAGGAGCGATTCTCGTGTGAGTGCAGATGTGGATTTATGACGCGCTGGTGATGCTGAGCCATCCGGGTACCCTGGGTCTGGTGGGTGTACGCACGCCAGACCCAGGGTACCCGGATGATGCTGAGCCTGTGTGTGTCAGGGCGGTGAACGTAGCCCAACTGGAATAGTGTTCTGCAGGGGGTCGCCTGCACGGTCGTAACTACGTCGTTTGTGTGATCGTGGTTACCGGGTCGTTTGTGATCTTTTGCTCGTTTGCAATTACCATCGCTTGTACTATAATGTGCTCGTTGTCAACTCAATAAACTCTTAAAGGGACAGTAGCCTCTAGGATTTTACTGCATACAACTGTACTTACTGTATAACAAATCGTCTATACCCACACGTACTTGTTACCAGATACCTAATTTAATTGTTATAATTAATTACACATCAACGCTACGAAATTTGAACGGCGCCATGACACCCGCGACCGTGTTGCCACCCCGAAAAAGTTG